ATAGATAGATAGATAGATAGATAGATAGATAGATAGATAGATAGATAGATAGATAGATAGATAGATCTTAATAAAAATGTATCAGTGACTGTGAGTTTTGCAAAAGTGTCATAAGAATATTTTATTAGTGTTAATGTTAACTCCACCAAGAATATTTAAATACACTGAACCATGTGTTCAGCTTTAATGGCTGTACTCCTAAGATTTACAGAGGAAAAAATTGTGAGAATGAGTTTAGTATTTAGCTATGACTGATTAAACGCGGGGCAGCATGGTGGCGCAACTGGTAGAGCTGCTGCCTCTCAGCGAGCAGGTCCCTGGTTCAAACCCCGGTCCAGGGGCCTTTCTGATAATATTAATATTAATAATTAATAATTAATATTAATAGAAGTTTGAAACACTTCTGCCTTCAGAGCGTTGGGAACTTTTATGCACCAGGTGCTTTCCCAGTCAATGACCTCCCTCACAACTTCTCATGGTTTTCCTTATCATGGCTGAGTTGCTGTTCCTCGATATTTCAACTTTCTCTTGATATCACTATCAGTTGACCAGGGACCAGCAGGAATCAATTTTCACCCAACATCTCATTTTAAAGGTGTCCTCCTGACACGATCTGTATATTACAAGTGTTTGCCAATGTAAACTGCACAGCCAGGCGGTTTTATACACCTGCAGTAACAGATCTGCCTGAAACGCCCAAATTCAACAACAAGTGTGCCTGGATACATTTATGTACTGTTTACAGTGCATTTTCATGTTTAGGTTCATACAAATTCACACACAAATTCTCATATGCCCACAGCACCCCCCAGCTGAAACACATTCTCACAAATGTCTGATGCCAAACCATAAGTCTTACCGTATTTTCCTGCATATAAGTAATCATTTTTTTGCATAGATTTGTCAGTCCTGGGACTTATACGCCGAAACGACTTGTACACGTTTTTTACCCCCCATATTCATAGTGCAAATTTTGACTGACACTTTAAATTTCTAAGAATGGCAACGGCAAGTCCTCCTGTGCGCACTCGCTTCACTCAGCTGGTGCAGGCAGAGAAACGCTGGAGAGCTAGTGGCTCCGGCCACGATGGATGAATGGATGAACGGATAGATAGTGCCACACCACCCAGGCGAAATGAAGCTGTTTTGACCATTAAAGTGCATTTGTTAATGAAAAGTTAAACTGAGACACATCTTTGCTATAATGTCGAGAAACAAATAATTGTTTTTAAGTGTTAATCTTGTTCAATTTTGAAGAACTACAACAGCGAGTCCTCCTGTGCGCACTCGCTTCACTCAGCTGGTGCAGACAGAGGAACGCTGAAGAGCTAGCAGCTCTGGCCACGATGGATGGATGGATGGATGGCGCCACGCCACCCAGGCGAAATGAAGCCGTTTTGACCATTAAATAAACATATAATAAACGTGATGGGTCAGTGGTGACACATAATAAATGTGATTAGTTCGCCCGTCTTGAAGAAAATACAATATTTTCCGGAGTATAAGTCGCATCAGTCAAAAAAAAAAGCATCACGAAGAAGGAAAAACATAAGTTGATTCGGCGTATAAATCACATTTATCGAATCACATTTAAGGCTCTTTAGCTTTTTATGGAAACTCTCTAACAGATAAATGGTAAATGGACTGTACTTATATAGCACCTTTCTATTTTATTTCAAGATACTCTAAGCACTTTACACTACAATCTGTGTCCTCATTTACCCATTCATACAGCACTCTGCTAGATCTCTACAAAGCTAATTGAACAAATCATTCTAATGAGACTAATCAGTGCTTTAGATCACATTCATACACTGATGGGACATACATCGGAGGCTATGAGGGGTTCAGTGTCTTGCCCAGGGACACTTCAGCATGTGACTGCTGGTGGATTCGAACACCCAATTCTCGCATTGGAGGATGACTGCTCTAACCACTCAGCCACAGCCGCCCATAATATAAAGATAAATATTTCAACTTTTAGGGCAGAATGAAATTAAATGAAACATCAATGCCTACTGCTGGAAGAGGGAAACTTGAGAAAATTGGTAGCAATTGCACTGTAATTTCACATATTCTGACATTAGATTATAATCTGTAGACTCACCATTGATGACTGGAGTAAACACTGCCATCCCTTCAAAATTTGGACTGCTCACAGTTTTATCCAGAATCAGACCACCAATACTGAGAAAACATGACATCACTTTATGAGTCATAGCACATTATTTTCAGAAAAACTTTACTAGATTTCTCATTCCTGTAAAATAATGTGGTTTTGACAGCATTCATCCTTGTTCACTATGTATGACTTTTTTAGTGTTGCCTGTGCTATAATTGTTTGAAGTCCTTTTTTTTTCTCTGAAATCGTCACTCAGTACACAATAACAACAAAACAGAATTTTTAACTACTTTATAAACTTTTGAAGAACACAAAACCGGCATTGGCATTGACAGAAATATTTAGACTCTATAAACTCCAGCAAACCCCAAATCCAAATTATAGAACAAAACACGGCAAAAGTAGGTCAGAACTTGTCATATATTGTCATAGTCTTTTTTTAAATGATGCAAGTATAAAATAAAATTGGGGGAAATCATTACGTGTTGAGGAGCTTTTCTACACATGAGTAATCATCAGTCTGTGTCAGAAAGTGTAAAATTTTAAATAAAATAAGGTTTAAATATGTGATGCGTTCCAAGCATAGTCTCTCCAGTGTGTCCTGGGTCTTCCCTGAAGTCTCCTCCCAGTCAGAAATGACCGAAGCACCTCCCTAGGGAGGTGTCCAAGGAGCATCTTACTCAGCTCTCACTGAAGCATCTGCTCCAGTGCTGAAGATGTCACCAACAGGACCACATCATCTACAAAGAGCAGAGATGGAATCCTGAGGTCACTGAACCGAACTCCTTCCACCCCCTGGCTGCACCGAGAAATTCTGTCCATGAAAGTTATGAACAGAATCTATGACAACAAACAGCCCTGACAGAGTCCAGCTCCCACCCTGAAGGGGTCAGACTTACTGCTGGCAGTTTAAACCAAACTGTCGCATCACTTGTATAGAGACCGAACAGCCTGTACCAATGGGATCCCAGTCCCATATTTGCGAAGACCCCCCCCCCCCCCCCCCCCCCCCCACCCCCACACACACACACACACACACAGTGTACACAGAGCATCATGGTCAGATGCCTTTTCCAAGTCCATAAAACACATGTAGACTGGATAGACAAACTCCCATGACCCATTAATGACCCCAGTGTGGGTAAAGAGCTGGTCCAGATTTCACAGCCAAGCTGATTTGTTCCTCCTGGATCTGAGGTTTGACCAACACTATGTATGAATGTTATCTAAAAGCACTGATTAGTCTCATTAGAATGATTTGTTCAATTAGCTTTGTAGAGATCTAGTAGAGTGCTATATGAATGGGTAAATGAGGACACAGATTGTAGTGTAAAGCGCTTTGAGTATCTTGAAATAAGATAGAAAGGCGCTATATAACACAGTAAAAATGCCAGTGTTAAAATCTTAGGTGTAGTGTTAAATAAAAAGTGTGAGTGTTGTTTCATCATCACACAGCTTTAAAATAACACTGCCAGTGTAACCTCTGTCATATTTGTGTTGTTAATTTTGAGCGTTAATTGGTTGGTGTTGCTTAAGCCACGCATTCACGTAACGGCTGCAGAGTACGTTCTACTTTCTGTGGTGTGGTCATCACCAGTCACTCAGTTGGTACGGCTTCCTTTCCCACACGGAAGACAATTCTTTCCTAAAAGTAAGTTAAATATCCAGACAAGAGTATTGTTTTGTTGGAAATGTGTTGTAACTTCAACAAGTTCACTATATTTAACCCATTTTGCATGGAAAATTCACCAAAGTCAAGGTCCCGCCATTTTGCAAAATCTAGGCGAACGGTAAATTTGAATTCTATTTGGTAAGTTCTAATTGTTATTTTACACCATGAATAATATGTGTATAGCTGAATGACTTGAAATATTGGCAATGTGTGCATCTAAAAAGCTAACATTGCAAACCGATAATGTTAAGCCTCCAAAGGGATGTGGGGGATTTTTTTTATTCCCTAGCTAAGTTGTTCGTTATGTTGAGGAAGCAAGGCATTTTGCATAAGGTTACCCTCAAAACAAAAATATTTAGTTTTTAATCCAACATAAATGCCGAATGTTTTAAAATATTTTATATAATTTATGGTTTCATTGTGACTTGTCTGGTTCGTCCACTTTGCAATAAAACGTTGCTAGGTAAAGCTAAGCTCTTGAGAGAGAACGCAAAAGAGAAAGCGGAAAAAATCCCCTATCATCACCTTGCGCCTGTTTGGCTAGACCAGTAGCAAAGCTAAAGTGTAAAAAGCCACGTTGCTGCTAACTGACAGGGAAACGGATTTGGGCTAGCTAGCTCAACACTAGGGGTGTAACGGTACATGTGGGTATACCGAACCGCATGTTTGGTTTGGTCTACGTGTGTACCGTTTCGGTTATATTTTCATTAATTAAATTTTATTAAACGAGAGATTATGCACCGCGGAACTAGTTCCTAAGCGTGTTTCAGCACGGCGTTATTATCGTGCAGCATGTGCAGCATTAGCAGCTTAGCATCTCGTTGCAGTCTCCTGTTTGGGAACATTATGGCTTTCTTGTTAAATGACAAGTGAACAAATCCAAAGCTGTGTGTCGACGTTGTTTCATCTCAGCAGCAACACGTCTAACTTGTTAACAACTTGAAACGACATAATCCGAACGTGATCGTCTCTTCTAGCAGCTTGTTGCAAACACAGATAACAGCAGCATTTAAACAACCTTCATCAGGTCATTCAGATCGGTCCAAAGCAATAACACAAGCTGTAGGAGTTTTTAAAGCTCTGGATCTACGTTTCTGTTGTTGATGCGCCGGCTTTAAAGTTATTGAGCCCCGCTACGACATCACGTCAACACTTCATCCAAAACGTGGCAGCACTTTATGAAAAAGATAAAACTGATTCTTTTATTATTATTATCTAATTAATTTTTTTTATTTAAAATTATAATCTTATTAACACTTTTTTTTTTTTACCTCTGTGTTTATTTCCAGTTTGGGACAGAGATAACAGCTGCGAGTCTTCTTCCTCTTCAGGGAAATCAGAGATCACCTCCAGCTAAGAAGTCTGTGATGACTGAACTCTGAACTTTTCCAGGGACCTGTCCCACCTGTGGGTGCGGGTCCAAGAGGTTGTGAGTAATGAGGCAAAATACAGCCACAATGCAAAATTAGCAAAGCTCTACCTCTTTATTCCTGCTACTGTTGTTAGTGAGTGGGTTTTTTTCACTGCTGGAGATATTCACTGCAACTAGAATAGTGCTTTTTGCAGAAAACGTGGACAAGTGTGACTTTTTGGCCAAAAACTTCAAACTTGACTAGTTAGATTGTAAACAGTCTGTTGCTGCTTATTGTTCTGCTTCTGACTGTTATTGTATTTATTAAGATTTTTATTATTGTTAGTATAGTTTATTTATTGTAAAGAGTGCCTTTTATTTGAAATATCATCCAAATGGGTCACTTTTATTTATTTTATACAAACGTACATTATTGTTTACTTGGCATATTTTCAAAATAAACATTTTGTAAGTCTTTATTTGGGCTTTTTTTTTTTTTTTTTACCAAAAATGAACGGAACCGAGCCCTCCCTGAAACTGAACCAAACCAAAATGTGATTTTATCGTACCGTTACACCCCTATTCAACACTAGTTTTAATGGCGTTTATATGGCTGAGAGAGCTAACGTTTTCAGTGAGATAGTGGAAGTGATAAAGGGCTGGTTTAAAATATCTGTAAGGTGTTGTCAAAGCTTGGATCGTGTCCCTCTTTTGTTCCGCAGAAATGCTGGTGCAAGTGGAGTATCAGAAAGCCCAGAAATGGGTTCGGGTTCCAGTGACACATGACTGCTATGATTACTTGAAATTCATGCAAGAGGGTACGTCCAGTGCTAATTATGTTGTTGTGGCAGCTTCCATTAAATTAAGTAAGCTTATTTTCTCTATCTCAAATCATGTCCAGAATGCTTATTAATTCCCCTCTGTCCTCGTAATGGGCTTTGTTTAAGTAATAATTCATTCATTATTTTTCATAAACATTGTTATGTCAGATTTCGGTGAACTGTCTGCCAACAACATGGGCAACATTTAATGATAAAATGTATTATTTCAACCACCAGTTCATTGACTGAAAATATTATTTAAAATATTTTCTAATTATAAATGTAATTAGCCCTTAACAGTTCTAAGGATATGCTATAAATTAGCAGTTTAAGATGAGTATTTTTGTTTCCTTCCAGTTCATGCTAAATTCAATTTGGCAAGTGAAATCTGTGTAGAACTGAAGGACTCTTCTGGAGTTGATGTGGATGCTGATATTTTTGATGAACTTCTGCAATCTGCTACAGTATCTTTCAAAGCAGTCACTAAGCATTTTGGTAAGATTTTAAAGCATTAAAACAAGTGTTCCTTCTAATGCATTTTAAGAATATATAAATCTAAAGTTAATTTTAAGTTGTTTAATAATGACATTTCTAAACGTTACACAGTGGGCCTCGTTGATGAGAGTGAGGTAACAAACACATCCTTCAGTTCTGAAGATGGGTCAGCCTCATCAGTTGAATCTCCAAGCTCAGCAAGCTCATCTTCTACAGTGATCACAGAGAACACCAAAGCACAGAGAAGACGACTGGTTGAAGGACCACCTGACAGTAAGATGGCAAAAGATGTGAGTTGTGTCAAGGTGGGAAATAGAAAGATGATCCATTTTAAAATTCATAGCAGGATGACATGTGAAATCCATTGCAGATTGTATATGTAGCTCTGCACCAAAAACCAGGGGGAGAAGATGTATTAAAAGAGTACAACAAGACCAAAAGTCTCTCTGATCCAACAAGAAGGAAACTTGTCAATATTTTAGTGGCAGATATGATCGAAAGTCATGGGTATGTACCAATAAACCTCAGCCTGCTGAATGGGGTCCAGAATCTAACCTTTTTTCTTTTTTTTGGACTGGTAATACTTTAAAAGTTAAAAACATAAATGTATGGAATCCAGAAAAATGTTAGAATTATTTGAAAAACATAATTATTAACTTAATGATTATTCAAATATTTTATAATTGCTGATGAGCTTTCTATTCATATCCTTTTGCTTTTGGTGTG